TTTTGTTTTCTTCAGGTGAATTCCTAGAAGTGGAATTACTAGGTCATATAGCATTTCTAGTTTTTGAGCATTTTTGTGTATGTTGCGCCTGTATATGTCTTCTTTGGAAAAATATTCAGGTCCTGTGTCCATTTTTTTTTTTTTTTGAGAGGGCATCTCTCATATTTATTGATCAAATGGTTGTTAACAACAATAAAATTCTGTATAGGGGGACTCAATGCACAATCATTAATCCACCCCAAGCCTAATTCTCATCAGTCTCCGATCTTCTGAAGCATAATGAACAAGTTCTTACATGGTGAACAAATTCTTACATAGTGAATAAGTTCTTACATGGTGAACAGTACAAGGGCAGTCATCACAGAAACTTTCGGTTTTGATCACGCATTATGAACTATAAACAATCAGGTCAAATATGAATATTCATTTGATTTTTATACTTGATTTATATGTGGATCCCACATTTCTCCCTTTATTATTATTATTATTTTTATTTTTAATAAAATGCTGAAGTGGTAGGTAGATGCAAGATAAAGGTAGAAAACATAGTTTAGTGCTGTAAGAGGGCAAATGTAGATGATCAGGTGTGTGCCTATAGACTAAGTATTAATCCAAGCTAGACAAGGGCAGCAAAACATCCACGGATGCAGAAAATTTCTCTCAAAACAGGTGGGGTGAGGTTCTAAGCCTCACCTCTGTTGATCCCCAATTTCTCACCTGATGGCCCCCCTGCGACTGTGCCTGTCTTAGGTTGTTCCTCCCTTGAGGAATCCTACCTGTCTCTGACTAACCAGTCATCTTCTGGGGCCATACAGGGAAATGTAAAGTTTCCTGTGTCCATTTTTTAATCAGATTTTTGTGTGTGTGTGATTGAGTTGTATGAGTTCTTTTATATTTTTTGGATATTTGCCCCTTATTGTATATATTATTTGCAAACACATTGTTCCTTTCAGTAGTTGCCTTTCATACTGTTTTGATTACTATAGCTTTGTGGTATAGTTTGAAACCAGGGAGTGTATTACTTCCAGCTTTGTTCTTCTTAAGATTGCTTTGGCTGTTTTGGGGTCTTTTGGGTTTCTATTTTAGGATTATTTATCCTAGTTATGTGAAAAATGCTGTTGGTAATTTGATAAGGATTGTGTTGGGTTTGTAAATTGCTTTTGGTCGAATGGACATTTTAACAGTATTCTTCCAAACTGTGAGCACAATGTATCTTTCTGTTTATTTGTGGCATCATCATTTTCTTTCTTCAGTGTCTTATAGTTTACAGATGAAGGTCTCTCATCACCTTCATTAGATTTATTGTTAAGTTTTTATTCTTTTGGATGCAATTGTAAATGGGATTGTTTTCTTAATTTCTCTCTCTGCTAGTTCATTATTAGTATATAGAAATGCAACAGATTTCTGTATATTGATTTGTATCCTGTGACTTTAATGAATTCATGTATTGGTTCTAATAGTTTTTTGGTGGAGTCTTTAGGGCTTTCTAAATATATTGTATCATGTCATCTGCAAAATAGTCACAATTTTACTTCCTCCTTATCATTTGGGTGATTGCTGTGGCTAGGACTTCTAGCACTTTGTTGAATAAAAGTGGTGAGAATGGACATCCTGTCTTTTTCCTGATCTTAGAGGAAAAACTTTCAGCATTTCACCATTGAGCATGATGTTAGCTGCTGGTTTGTCTTTTATCGCCTTCATTATTTTGAGGTATATTTTCTCTATACTCACTTAATTGAGAATTTATATCATATATGGATGTTGAATTTTGTCAAATGCTTTTTCATCATCTAATGAGATGATCATATGGTTTTTAGTATTCCTCTTATTGATGTGGTATATATCACACTGGTGGCTTTTTGAGTATTGAACCATCCCTGCATCCCTGGAATAAATCCCACTTGGTTGTAGTGAATTGTCCTTTTAATGTATTTTTTATTTTGTTGAGAGTTTTACATCTATGTTCATCAAGGATATTCATCTGTAATTTTTTTTTGTAGTATCCTTGGTTTTGATATCAGGGTATTTTTTGTCTTATCTATTAGAGCTCTTTGGTCTGTGATTACATCTATGTTGTTTCTATGTATTAGGTAGGTCAGCTGTGTCTTCTGGTCTTGAAGGAGTGTCCCTAGGTACAAGGTGTCCTGTGTGGCCCAGTATCACAGTCCTCTCTGGTCACCAGAACCACGTGCTCCAGGGAGCCCTCCTGTTATGACTGGGCCAAGACTGCTGCAGCATGCTGGTGGGTGGGGCTGATTCCACACCCAAAAGGCTACAGTGCCTGGCTGTGACTGCTGTGGGCATACTGGTTGGCAGGGTTGGATTCATCCCTGTCCCCAGACAGGAGCCACTTTGGGGGGCTGCAGGCTGAGGCCACATGCTGGGTGTGGCAGGGTGGAAGTTGCTTTGCCAAGGCAATTGCTGGGGTGGGCAGGTTGGGTGACACCGGCAGGTCTACAGGGATGGCTGGGGCAGGTCAAGTGGTGCTACCAAGGTAGGTGGAGTGTCAGAAGTAATGCCTACCAGCACCAGGCCAGCCAATTAGAAGGAGAGTAAGTAAAACAGCCCCCACCAGTTCTTCTTGGAAGAAGTTCCCACAGATCTCTGCCCCTCTGGCATACCTAAAATTAGTCACTAAATCTTCATAGATGGACCATATGCCTATCAAACTGCTGCATCTGTGCTGTGTCTTTGAGCATGTGAGTTTGTGCTTGGGCCTTTCAAGAGTGGAGTCTTGGTTCCCTGTAGCCCTTTGGTTATCCTAGAATTAAATCCTGCAGATTTTCAAAGCCAGGGGGTCTCTCATCTTTTTGGTATGAGTACCCAGGGCAGGGGTGCCCCATGTGGGGTCCTGACTGCATTGCTGCCCTTTCTACCAGTGGCTTTTTCTTTACATTTTAGTTGTGCAAGAGTTGTTCTGCTAGTCTTCAGGTAGTTCTCAGACTTCGATATGTAGTTGTAGTTTTGGTGTGTTCATAAGAAGAGGTGAGTTCACGGTCTTCCTACTCTACCATCTTGGGATGATTCCTGTAGTTATTTTCTTTATTTCTTATACTGTACATGACTTGTTTCTATAGATAAATTACTGATTTACCTAAAACCAGTTTTTCTGGAAAGTATTTCAGGACAGAGAGGTATTAACTATATTTTCTAGTAAAGTCCTTTCTTTTGTGCTAAGACTTGGAGTTTTTAAGGCTCTTAATATAAAACATTTTTTTGTATCATATAATTTCCTTACCCTTTTTAATAAACAGTTTGGATTATTTCCAAAGCTATAAAAATGAATACATGCAAATTATTCCACATTGTGTATCATTTGTTTACACTTGGTTACAAAGTTAAAACTATTTTTTTCCATTGCCATCCTAAAGGATTGATATAACTTATCTGGGTAGCTTAGTTTTTATTTTTAAGCAGATTATTCATGGACCTCCCCAATATACTGTCCTCAGTTATTTTTTTATTCTTTTTGGTTAGGAGATACTGTGTTTTAAAGTTATTCATTGGGAGGAAAACTGTTTCAATGAAATTGATATTCTTATGCAGATTTTTATATATTCCTAAAGATATTCCGTCTGTAACTCCTCCAAAGGAGTATAGCCTCTCTAAAAATTTAACTGTATCCTGAAAAATTTACTAAAGCTCTCCCACCCTAATAAAGACCAAATCACTTAAAGATCTAATTAAGGTTATTGAGATCAGCTAACTCTAAAGTCTGACAGTATTAAGTGTTGACAAAGATGTGAGCACTTAGAGACATTATTGTAATTAAAAGGCACTTGGAATTTAAGAATTAATTAAGGTGACTTGATTTCTCATTAATTAGATCATTATGTACTTATTCTCTAACTTGAAACTATTAGATGATGATAATAGTTATTGTTACTGTTATAATCAATATGTATATATAGTACTTACTGTGTATCAGACACTTTTAAAGACTTTTCTTATAGTAACTCATTTAATTCTTAGAATAATCCTATGAGGTAAGGACTATTACCATCCTCATTTAACAGATAAGGAAAATAAGTCACACAGAACTCATCCCAGGTCACATAGTTAGAAAATTCAGGCAAATGTTGTTCATAACCACTATAGCATGGTGAAAAGACTCCTTTCTCTTCCTTTTTTATTTTTAAAAAGAAAAATAAATTGTTCATCCTAAAAGGGTTAAGAAATACTTAGTATAAAAATGATAATACTTTATTGCTAGAAGGAGAAATATGTCCTTCTATTTCCTTCTTTATTTCTTATTTCTACTTGCTATTTATGTATTTATACTTTTATGTTATATATGTTATTTTCCATTGTTACTTTTATGAATCAGTGTTATTTACAACAATTGACATAATCTGATTACCAAGGCTTTTTCATAGGAGTGCTAGGCTGGTAGTTCAAACAGTTATTTGAATTTAGTCATAAAATCTTTCACTATATGCCTAATAGTTTAATTACTTGTCTATTTAGACTAATCTGATTACTAAGGCTTTTTCATAGAGTGCTAGGCTGGTAGTTCAAACAGAGTTATTTCAGTTTAGTCACACAATCTTTTAGTATATGCCTAATAGTTTAATCACTTGTCTATTTAGACTGGTTGAACGTTTATGTGGGAAATCTTCAAGCTTTATCTTCAGCTTAAAAGATACGCAGTATAGGTCCATTTCACATTTCTACCTTTTGAGAAATCTGTATCATTATAACTCAAAATGTGAACTGTAATTTCATAGAAGAATGCTTATGGTTGTTGATTAATTGATGTAAGAATCAATAAAAATAAGCTTTATTAAAAGTAATAAATTGAGTAATAAATTGATCTCTGTTGAATTAAACTAATGGTTTCATAATTTTTAATTGATAAAATCCAGTAAAGGTTACAAAAATTTTAATAAGCTCATTACTTATCTCTATGAGTTATCTCTTACAATATGGATTTGTTTTGGAGAAAAAATTCAAGTTGTTTTTTTTCTTACATCATTTGTTCCTATTCCTTTATTTTTTAGGATTTTGGCCCCCAGCAGTAATTACCAAGATACTGAGACCCTCTATAACTTCCTAATCAAATATGAGGTATGAGAAATGTTTTTAAATGTATATCATATCTCCACCATAAATAAGTTATAATATAAACAAAGATGATAAGAGTTCTAAAACATAATGAAATGCTGTTTAATTGATATTTGCTTTAAATTCTGGAGTGCCACAAAAAAATGTCACAGAAGTGACCTACTCAATTTTTTCTTCAAGTTCTCTAAGTAAAAACATACAGTAGAGTCCTCTAATAATATGCTTTCTCCAACACAGAATTGTTTCTCATGAAAAGTGCTGTTGGCATTTTGGACAGGTCATCTCTTCATTGAGTGGAACATTGCAGGACGTTTAACTTCCCTGATCCTCAGATACTAAATGCTAGTAGCTCCCCCAGTCATCACCACAACCAAAAATATCCCATCACTCCACCCAACTCACATACCCAGATGGCCCCTACAGAGGAATAGTCACCTCTAGTTGAGAACCAGTGATTGCTGAAAAGGAAAGCTATAATTTAGTTTCCTCTATGGCAGCAACATAAGCCCTGGAGTTAGAGCTGTGGTGAGGCTCCAGTGCGTTTTGTGAATTAACCTGAATGCTTTCCTCATCGTTGCTGGTCCAAGGAGAGTATTCTGTTGCTTTTCAGTTCTGTTTGCCTAGCGTTCTTTGCCTCTGTTCCCTAGCATTCTTTCCCCTCAAGTATGTGCATATATATCTAATTTTTTAAATGCTTTAAATGAAGGAACATGACATACATTCAGATCCACATTTCTTATAGCGTCAAACTCCTTTAAATACATTTCTTCACTTTTATTCCTGGTGAGCACTTCCTTTTGACTTTTTGTTTGCACCACCTTACATTAAGACCCTTAGGACTACGAACACAGACTCTGAGGGCAAACTACCCATGTTCAAATGTTGGTTCTGCCACCTATTAATTGCATGCTCTCAGAAGGGTTATTTAATTCTCTTTGTCTCAGTTTCTTCATCTGTGTAATGGTAATAATATCAGTAGAAAAACTAGAGGTATTTTTTAAAGACTAACTTAATAGATACGAAGTATTCCAAACACATACCACGCACAGAATAAGTGTTCAGTAAGTGTTACCTGTTTTATTTAAGGAAAGAATAGTGTGTGTGCTTTTAAAAAATCAGCCTTAATACTGAATAACCACATTATGTGGTTATTAAGAGGATTTCCTCTTTTGGGATGGTTCGTATGATTATTTCCTTATGCTTTCTGAATTTCAAATTGAGTCATTCTAACAATAAAAATACATTTGTGGAAAAAGTAGACCAATTTTGAAGTCACATATCCTGGAAAAATCTGGTATGTAGTTTTTTTGCGGGTGTAGTACTTCCTATTGCTGAGAATATTGGAAGAAAATACTTAACATTATTTATAATGATATGTGGAAATGATTTCAAGTTTTAAAAATCATTTCTCTTAGCAGAACTTGCTCCTCTATTCCAGTTACTGTACTGGAGATATTTGTCTTACATTACAAACAGGGATAGAACCATCTATACCTTCTAAGATGATTGGCAGTTTTATACTTGGCCTTTGCCTTTTGTTCTTGATTTTTAAGAATTAAAAATAACATGGTCCCTTCTAAAATTTGGCATTTATTATAAATAGTACAGCTGAGAATCAATGACACCAATTCTACAACCCACTTTAGTCTCAACTCTACTGTTTACTGACAAAGGCATCTTTTAGCTATTTGTTCCCTGGAAATTAAAATTGTGCACTTGAGCACAGAAATGATATTTAACAATGTAATTTAAAATGTTCCAATATTAGTAATAAAAAAATATTTTATATCAAAATTAATTAATATGATGAAATGAGATATTTCAGACTAGAACTTAGGATGTGTGTCATGAATTTGTGCTTTAGTTTTCCTTTCTTAGTAATAAATTAACTGCTCCTTTGTAAGTCATCTGCCCATGGTCTAGGAGCCACTGTCATGGAATACCCTATCTGTGTTCTGGGGTAAGTCTGAATGTATGTGGGTGATTGCTTTTAAAACTGAAGATGCATCTTGATACTTTTATTTTTTTAACTCTACTGAAGGCTTAATGAACTATCTTGTATTCACATTATATCAGCTTCAAAATCAGTTCTTCAGCTGATTTTTCTCCATAGTTGACAGAGAACAGATTATTCCCTTTACCCTCTGATCATACATCTGCAGTGTTGCTGACATTTGCTGGCCTAAGTCTGGACACATAGGTTCTGCCATGTTGAGGCAATAGTAAAAATATCAAAGTTCCTTGAGACCAGGGAAAAACATGTAAAGAAGTAGTAATTGGACTGTTTGATAGCTTAACTCTAAATATATAATTTAGAACATTTTCAAAAAGTTATTTTAATTAAAACTATCCTAAAATTACTTTTAATAAAAATTATGAAGTACCTAAATCATGATAAATTATATATAATTTCCTAAATCATTAAATGTAATATAAAATACACAATTAAATTTAAATACATAAATATATAATCCTAATATTAAGCAAAATTTAGGATTATATGTATTTAAAATATTTAAAAGCTGTTTTTTAACCTTCAGTAAATGAAACATTTTCAGCACAATTACAGTGAATATGAAAATACTGAAAAAGCTCATAGAACTTTTGCAAATAAGCAATACCTTAAATTTCATAGAACTCTTTCATGATATGAATCTTTAAAGTAGTATTAAATCAGGGTAGGAACATTTTTCCTCACCAAAAAACCCATACAAGCTAATGATATTTTAAATAGTTTTTAGACTAATTAAACAGAAGAGAGTCTCATTTATTTTCCCTTCACTAACTCAGAATTTCTTAAAATTTAGGCACTATGCTGTTATCAGATAAAAAGAAATTTCCTCCACACATTTTGGGATTCTTTTTGCACATAAGTGGAATATAACCTGAATTGTAGGAAGCCTTAAGAAATAAAGTATTCATTACTAAGCCAGGTGGAGAAAGACAAATACTGTATGATTTCACTTATTTGTGCAATATAAAAACAAAGCAAAACAGAATGAACAAAACAGCAGTACACTCACAGCCACTGAGAAATGACTGGTGGTTACCATGGGGGAGGAGTTGGGGTGGGAAGAAGGAGGAGGGAAGGATGAAAGGGATAAAGGGCCACAAAAATTCTCGATCATAAGTTGGTCACAGAGATGGTAGTACAACGTGGAGAATATAGGCAGTGATTCTGTAACATCTTCCTGTGTTGACAGATAGTAACTGCACTAGTGGGGCATGAGGATTTAGTAATATGGATAACTGTTGAACCATTGTGTTACATATTAGAAACCAATGTGAGATTGTTTTTATTGAATATTGTATATCAACAATATTTCAATAAAGAAAAAATACAAGCAAAAATAAGGGATTCCTTCACTGCCTTTTCCATATATATGCCATGACTGATTTTTGCATGGACTTTTATACTTGTAGTATTGTAAATTATGTCTCTTATTATGATATTTATGAATTTAAACATATTAGTCTAAATATTTAGACCTTGATAGTATAAAAAAATACATTTCCTTAGAAAATGTCTATAAATCAAACTTTCCTAAACAGACCTTTCCATACAGTTTATTTATATATAACCTTAGTTTGTAAAAGAAAATGAAGGTTATTCGGTAATAACTTTCACGAATGGTCAGCCTTGGTATTCAAAAAATATTAGAGTAACTTTTGTTACTCTGAGTAAGTAAGAATACTTAACTGTTCCATCCTGAATTATTTCTAATGTTCAGGATATAAACAAGATGGGGCTGTTCCTGCTTTCAATATGACCCCAGATATACTGTAGTCAAGTATAGAGTAATTAAAAAATTTTTTTAAATAATTATTTACTCTTTCTTGAAAATATATGTTGAAAAGGTGCATTAGAAATCTTTTAAAAGGCTAGGCTAATTGCAGCAAGAATCTGTTGATTAAGGCCAGAATTTAGTGTTTCATGGAGTACATATTTTTTTCTGTCGATTTGATCTAGAAAGTGATTATCTCCTTTCTTGAGATTCCCACTAATCCCAAGCCCACCTCCCTTCTTCTGGTTCTCTGCAGAAACTAGGCTATAACAATAGGACCATACAATTTTTACCATAGTTCAGTGTTGGTATTATGGTCACTGAACTCTTGACTGTCACTGATCACTGCTTGTTTTGCCAAAACGAGAGACTTGACATCCTGCTTCCTCAGAATTTGGGACACTCTAATTGTGTTCTTGCCACTCATTTGGTTCAGTATGCATTTTTAATAACTATATTGTTCTTTTCAGGTAAATAAAAATGTCCAGTTTACTACCCAGGAACTTCATGACTGCATTTCACAGACTGAGTATCGGTAAGTCACATCTATGTTGTTGATGCACCATTGTCACAAGCTTTTCCTATATACAGCACCACTTGGTGATGATGGTGCTAATGGGCTCTTTTTATGTCTTCACTATACTATAATTCTTTTTTACCTTTATTAATATGTAATATTTCTTACATATGAAAGAGGTATGTGTGCATATGTATGTATGTGTATAGGAGGTATAAGGTTTAAAGTGGTTCTCAAATTATTTGGCCTCAAGACTCCTTTATATTTAAAAAAAGTATTGAAGACCCCAAAGACCTTTGTTTATATGGGAATCATATCTACATATATTTCCTGTATTAAAAATTAGACTTGAGAAATATAAAAATTATTAAAAAAAATAACAGTAGTTAACTAATTACATGTTAAGATAAATAACATATTACAATGAAAATACTTTTCCCCAAACAAAAAATATTATCGACAAGAGTGGCATTGTACATTTTTGCAAGTCTCTTAATGTCTGGCTTAATAGAGGGCAGCTGGGTTCTCATAGCTGCTTTTTCATTTAGTCTGTTTCAATAATCACATGTCATGTGTCACTGGAAAACTGTACACTCTTGGAAGAATGAGAATGCAAAAGGCAAATCACATCTTAGTCTGACTTTGGAACTATCTTTGACCTCTTTGGGTCTTAGACTCCTCAGACTATGTTTTGAAGAATAGCCTGTATAGAGACTGCTGATATGCCTGCCAGTCGGTTGACAAAACAGACCTTTACCCATCCCTGTTTGTATACTGCCTCACTCTAGGGACTTGTTTATAATCCTTATTCTTATCTTTATGGCTTTACTACATATTATGTATCAATAAAAATATGTTGATTAATTTTGCCAGTTTTTATAATTTAATGGTATCATACTGTGTATATTGTTTAGAAAAAAATACTTTGGCTTGTAGTATTCATACATAACAAAAAGGGAAGTAGTATAAATTGGATTCTTGTACACATAGGTAGGTGTGAAGTCCTCTGGTCCTTGGCCCAGGCAAAAACACGAGGAGCAAAGACCCCCTTTAACTCTGTCAGTGTTGACTGCCAGGCCCTATCCCCTCCCCCCACAGTCTTTTTTACCCAGCAGTGAGATTTATCCATGTTGAGGCATAGAGAAGCAGTTGGTTTCCGGTCAGTTCTAGAATCGAGTGACACGTGTTATTAAATATCACCACTGCATTCTGCAGAATCATGCAGTAAAGACCACAGGGCTTGTGGGAAAAATGGGGTTGAGATACATTACTCAAAAACTTATTGATACATTAAAAAAATAGATAGGAACCTAATGATATCAGAATGGTGTCACCATTTCACCCATTTAAATGGTTAAGAAATACATACTATAATGAATCAGACACTTTACTTTGTAAAAGAGCTGGAGTTTCCTTGTGGATGCAGTCATTGGAGGGTTTGCCCCTTATGGCTTAGTGTTATGTGCTGGAAGTGGGGGTTATCCGAAATTGGATGTGGTAACACCAGATGTGAGTGGATGTGGCTCATAACACACAGGGAGCTGGGATGTGTCTGAAGTTTGTGCTTGTGTGGTTTGTGTATTCCTGAGCAGCTTTGTTCTGGGTGCGGTTTTTTCTGTTCATCCAGCATTTCTCACTGCTGAAATTATGTTTAAGAAAATGAATTTTGTTATGCTCAAATTGTTCTTTAATATTCAGTGGCATTAGAACACATTCCTGTGTTCAAACAAGCTCTGTAGCAAAACTATTTTCACTGCTCTTCAAAACTATTTCAGGAATACGCCACTGTATCATTATATCACACTTGATTTGCTATTTAAAACTTGCAGGTGTAGCTACAAAATTTTCCGAGCAGGTGGAGTGACAAAGTTAAATCAAGGTGCTTCTGTTGTTAAAACTCAAGTTGATGAATTTATTTGATATCAAGACACTAGGAGTGAATCATGCACAAATGTTAACTAAGCAGCACAGCTGTGAAAGTTCACATACTCAGATTAAAATAAATTTTCCAAGAGAATCTGAAGCCAGTGGTCTTATGTAATTTATTGCAGCTGGGAGTAAAAATGATTTCTTACCCTAATCTTCAAATAATCAGTTGTACTCTTATTTATAGATCTTTACAAGATAGTCCACATTTAAAGGTTTGTGTACATGAGATTTGTGTCAAAACTATACAGTGTCTATCAACCTTAGCCGTATTTGTGAAGGTGTAGAAAGCTTACTGTAGGTAACTTGAAGGGAAGAGTACCTTGCAGGATGGCTCTAATCAGATGTCTAAAATTATTTTGACTTTGGGTTACTTTTGGAATAGTTGGGAGGATTTTTTTTTTTGTGGGGTGGGAGTCCAGGAGTCAAAGTTGAATGTTCAGAGTTAAAGAGCTGTACCTGTTTTTCTCCTCTTTGTTTTATTTCCACTTACTATGCCAGGGATTTGAACTATATTAATTAATGAACTGCCTCTTATACCCAAAATGGTGGTTTTGAAGAGAACTGTATCTTGAATGCATTGAAAAATGGCAACTGCTTTGCAACAGACTTTCAGTTAATAGCTTTTAGATTTGTTTCTCTGTTTTGAAATTCTTTGCCGTATTTACAGTGAACAGTATCTCTCCCATATTAACCTCTAGTGTACTCCACAGCTCACAATTTTCACAGAAGCTGGCAAGAGAGACTTTTGGTTTCAGTAGCTCATTCTAGACACAAGGCCAAGTGCAATAGATAAAAACGGCAGAGTTTTTGTGTGACTCAGGTGAAAACAGAATAGTAATTTAATTTGCATATAGCTGACTACCTTTGGAAATGTTAAGGAAAGCAATCACTTAAATGGTTTGAATTTTCTAATCTTGCTTTTGATTTATAAAGTGTTAGCTGTGAAGGAGGAGACTGTTGATGTGCCCAACACCATATTTACTGCAATAGGGAGGTAATTACGCAGCTCCAGACATGAAACTATTTTGTAGGCTCTGATGGAGCAAGGCATTAAGGTTGCAGATTGAAGGCAGCTTTGATCAAAAGTTGGATTCCATGGTGCAGTAAAGCCTTGGTGTTTGTATCTGTAAGTCAATTCTTGTTCTGTCTTGGGTAGTTTTAGGTTCTTCAGCCTAGCTTTTGCTCCTGCCAGTGGGATACAAGCACTGCTTACCCAGAGCCAATAACAAATTTGCTAGAAAATCCACATTGGCAAATTAGCAAGATTATAAGATTATTAAACAAAATGCCTTGTGTGGTATCTTTTATATCTATGAGAAATAGTTAGAAGCACCATTTAATTCACTTTGTCTGCCCTCTGAGTTCTTGTCAGAATGTTCTGGCATCTTTGGGGAGGCAAGTACCTAAGGTCATTTTTTTTTCTTTTTGAAATTCAAATTAGTTTGTGATACCAGCTTCATAAAATACCTGGCATATCCAGGTAATGTGCTGCCTAAGATGGCATGTGTATCAGAAACTGCTTTCTCTCCCTGGTGGCAGGTGCTTTCCAGAGTTACTGCTCTCTGACTCCAGGAATCAGCTCCATGGTAGCATCTTCTAGATTACATTAGAGCTGTGGTTCTCTTAGGTGTGGCGCCTGGACCTGAATGTCAGCATCAGGCATTTGCAAGAAATGTAAGCTCTAAGACTCCCCCCTACCCAGACCTTCTGAAAAAGAGGCTCTGGGGATGGAGCCCAGTGGTCTGTGGTAACGAACCCTCCGAGGCATGCTGCCATTTCAGAATCTTTGCATTTAAGTTAATGACCTGGCCTGTCCAAGAAGCCTTAGACAAAAAGAAAAAAAAAGAAAAAAAAAAGCCATAGAGAAAAATAATCTAAAAACCAGTTTTTGCCTTTTGATGTATCTGCTTCAGTTAGAAAAGAATTACATTATTTTTTTGTGTCTATAGTTGCAGTGATACTTTGCAGTAAATTTGACTTCATTATTGTAAGTTAAAAGATATTACAAAATAAATTATATTCTTTATTTAAATTGAGGTAAACATTGACATAACATAAAAATAACAGTTAACCGTTTTAAGGTGTATAATTCAGTGGCATTTAGTGCATTCCCTCTGTTGTGCAGCCATCACCTCTTAGTTCCCAGACTTTTCCATCAGCCAGTAGAAAATTCAGTACTCATTAAGCTGGCTCTGTTCTCTCTTCCCTCCAGACTCTGTGAATGTATCTTATAAATAAAATCATATAACATATGACCTTTTTGTATCATTTCTTTCACTTGGCATGGTATTCAGTTATCTTGTATTTTAGCCTGTATCAGTACTTGATTCCTTTTTATGGCTGAATGATATTCCCTGGCATGTATATACCACACTCTGTCTGTCATTCATGTATTGATGGACTTTTGGGTTGTTCCCACTTTTGGCTATTGTGAATGGTATTGCTTTTTGTCCAGCTTCATTCATTTGCGTGTTGTGGATATCAGGTTGTGCCAGCACCATTTGTTGAAGAGACTCTTCTTTTCCCATTGAATGGTCATGGCATCCTTGTCAGAAATCAATTGACCACATATGTGAGATTTATTTCTGGATTTTCACTTCTATTCCACTGGTCTGTATGTCTTTATCCCAGTACCACACTGTTTTGACTAAAGTTGCTTTGTAGTTGGTTTTCAAAATTGGTAAGTGTGAGTCCTTTACATTATTTTTCTTTTTCAGGATTTGGCTATTTGGGGTTCCTTGCAATTCTATGTGAATTTTAGGATCAGTTTTTTCATTTTTGCAAAAAAAAGTTCATTGGGATTTTTATAGCGATTGCACTGAGGAGTATTGCTTTGTATTGTCTTCCAGTCTGTGAACATCAGATGCCACTAATTTAGGTCTTAAAGATTTTTTTGTCAGTGTTGTGTAGCTTTTGGTGTACATGTCTTGTGCCTCACTGATTACATTATTTTTAAGAATTTAGTCCTTTTCATGCTATTATAAATGGACTTGTTCATTTCTTGTTAGTGTTTAGAAATGCACTGGTTTTTTATGTGTTGATCTCTTACTGTGTAACGTTGCTGAATTAATTAAATTAGTTGTAACAGTTATTTGGTGGATCCTTCAGTATCTAAAAATACAGATAATTTTACTTCTTTGTTTACAGTTGGTATGCCCGTTATTTCTTTTTTGCCTAATTGCTCTGGCTAGAACTTCCAATGCAATGTTGAATAGCAGTGATGAACATGGAAATCCTTTGCCTTTTTCCTGATTTTAGGAGGGAAGCTTTGAGTCTTTCACCATTAAGTATGATATTATTATACATTTTATAGGAGCATTACATTATATTCTGCCATTCTATATATAAGCCATGGAGAAAAGGAACTCAAGAATAGACTGAACATATACAGTGAAAAGCACCTGATAATTTCCTCAGTCAGCAATGACATCTTGCTGCAGGAAACAAAATCTGCACATGAAAATCCATTGTCTGAATGCTGACTCACACAAATAAAGAAACCAGACGCCACTCGGATGGAAAGAAGAGTTAAGCTCGCCTCTTAACTGTGAGAAAAGAGAAAGAAAAAGAAGAAAAAAGACATGGAAATTCAAAGTCTTGTTACTGAAGGCATAGTCTTCACATGTGAAATGAATAAGCAAGAAAAGGAATACGGTCTGCCCTTTCTGTTTATTTTTGAGTTTATAAGAAAACATTTTTATCTCTCTGATTTTGGATGTCTTAGGATCTTCTGAAAATCATTCGCTGAGTAGTTGTGAAGAATTGGCAACAACATAACACTAATTTTAAGTACTTTAAATATAGGAAACAGGACTAGAGTAACACAAAACCAAAAATTAGCCTCAGAGAAACGTCACATTTCAGTAAGTGAGGCTGCTCGAAACATGGTGTATTTACTTTTGCTGTCAACTCTCGTCCTAGTCCCTGAGTTCCGATTGGCCTCTTTTCTCTCTCTACCCCTACATGAGGCTACCCTTGCAGGGGTGGGCAGTGGGGAGAGATGGCTAGTGGTCCTCCCCAGCACCAGGGCGACGGTTGCAAGAAGCCAAGCAAATAAGGACTGTGTTTTATATAAGAAAAGTGGCTGCCATTTCTTGAACCCGTCATGTGCCAAATGCTGTACTTCATGCTGAGTATTCTTTGTCAACGTACTTAAACCAAATCCCAGTAAATTTCAGTATGTTCTGCTGAGATTTGGACTCTATACACCAGATGAATGAATTGGTACTCTTACTGAGGAATGACAGATCTCACAGTGTGTAGACCCTATGTCAGCTCTTGAGGGCCTGGCTAGGCTTCAGCCTAGGTGCGATTTTGAGTAGACATGGCATATCAGGCATTACTCTCTGCTTTCCCACCCCTCATACTCATTTGTTAACTGCTAGGTAACTCACCAGAGCAACTGTTTTGAAGAATTGAAGTTCTGCCCCCTCTCCTGTGTCTCTTCCTGTCAGGAGGTGCATACTCTTAAGATCCTCCAGTCTACATGTTCTTTACTTCCCAAACCAAATAGGACAGAAATACGCAATCTACTCCACAGTATTGCTTACCCCTTGGACTAGGATATTTAATAACAGCCCATCTCCTGCTAAAAGAGCTCTTTCAGAGACCATATAAAGGACTGTTTTTAAGCATCTGGCTTTGCTCGTTGGCAGCAGATCTGCCATAGGAACCTTTATTTCTGAATGCTAGGAATTGCTCTTAGATCATCTCCGTGTCGGCTACCTGAGGATCTGTGCTACCAAGTGCTTGTCCTTCCATGTTGTTTTGTCTGTGCTAAGGAACCATAACTCTTTGTATTTTCTCTCTCAAATATCAAAGAATGTATTTCAAATCCCAGTGTTATCCTGTTGTATTAAGATTTTAAAATTTATTCTACTGCTGTCTTGCAGCAATTTAACATTTCTTTATCCTCTAGGGAAAAGTTAACTATTGGATGCCGCCAGTTGGTTGAGATGGAGTATACAATGCAGCAGTTCAATGCATCTGTCTGTATGGAGGCCAGAAACCGGGGATGGTGTGAAGACATGCGGACCTAAGGCTGAACCATAGGACCTAAGGCTGAGTTGTAACTTAAAAGGAGTTGCATATGTTTTCAAGAACAACAGAGTAGTTCCACCTTTTGAGCCAAACCCAAGAGATGTGTGAGAAATGTCTCATAGGTATATAAGGATGATTGCTTATTAAGAACGATCTCCTTCCTTGAGTATCTTAAAAGCCTAATGCATCCATTGTGGGATAAACTGTGGACTCAGTGCTTCTGAAATTAACAATACCTCCCTACCTCACCTGCTGATACTGAGCCAGTATGTCCACAGAAAGGAGAGCCATCATTTTAATCCTCTTAGGGTAGGAGCCACTGTGGCATCTGAGGAAAGCCTAGGGCACAGCGTTCACCTCTCTCTCAACCCTAAATATGGATACATGACAAGACACTTCCAAACCATGCTCACCACATTCCACAAATAAAATCTTCTCTGGACTCTTTTCTCTTCAAACTGTTTTTCATGTAAACCTGGTGAACATAACACACATGCCTTCCACCTCCCCCGAGGTAATGAGAATAGAATTTTGACTTCAGTTCCAACTTGCTATATAGCCTCATCTCTCCTTCCCTGGGCTTGTCACCTACCTTTCAATATATTTCTAATGGGAAGAACAGGGAAACGGTACCGTTTCCCCTTAAACGTGAAGCATCATTGATTTATGGGATTAGGTGGCAGTGACTGATGTCTGCCCATAGCTAATGAGGTGTTTATTTCTTAGTTATACAGTAAGTTGGAAATCCTTGTTTATTAGAGTATGCTTTTGGCAATGCATTAGATCAAGTTAATTTGGTATTCTATTAAAAATGTTAATTTATTATTTTTAAAAAGCAATAAAGTATTTTTAGTAAGATTTTACTTTTCATTTTACTTCTGAATTGTATTTCTGAACTGTGTACCAGGTATGATTATAAAAGTGATCATCTCCAATAAGAGAGACCCTACTTAGGACGTTCACTGTCAGTCTGTGCAGGCCCCAGCCCAGTTCTGTGGGAAGCCACACCTCCACTCGGGCTCAGATGTCATCAGGGGCATGAGCCTGGGTGGAAGAAGCTTCCAGAGCACGTCTGCTGCCTGCCCCACCAAAAAAACTTTCCACATCCTTATCCCTCATTTACTTCCAGTTGTTGTTCCTGGGTCTTGAGACTTTGTTACCTCCCTCTCTTTTTTCTCTTTTTAACAGAGGTAATGCTTTTAAGGAACTTTCCTTTTCATTCCTGTCACCCGCATGCTTCCATGTATTTCACCCTTACACATGTGGATTTTAATTTTATCTTAGTCTGTGTGTCTTTTACTTTATGCATTATCAGTTATCTCAATCTTCCTTGATATTTTCTTTCTGCACATATTTGATTTAGAAGCATTTTTAAAAAATGTTTTAGTCTGTTTCTTTGAAACATCAGGATTTTTTTTCTCCCTTCTTTGTTGCCTTCTTTTCTGATCTTAAACTTACTTTATACTTTTTTCTAATAGTCCATCCAGTGAGGAGTTGAGAGGGTTCCCTTTCTTCTCACCTCCTACTCTTTATTACCCTCTATGAACTGGAATAACTCAGTTAATAAAAAGATCATAAACCCCACCTTGCAGTACATACGTTTGTTTTGATGGAAGAATTATCGGATCCTTAGAAGGGTATCTTCTGGTTTTATAATCTGCATGCTTCAATATGTATAGCTGTTATATTTGGGGCAGGAGTCATCATAGGTCTGCCTCGAATCCAGCGGGAGTGATGGAGACGGTCACACCAGGGGAAGAGCTCTCTACACAAGGCCTTTGGCCTTGCCTTAGTGAGGAACTGGTGATAACTTCAGGAGAGGCATCCCATGAGGATTACTCCAAAGTTCCTGGTACCGTTTTACACTAGTTTTTTCAAAAGAGTAAAGATAATCCATTTCCCTTCTGAGAGGACCAGGGAGGATCCTCTGCTTGGGAGCAGCCTCAGCTCTTCCAGCATCTGGGCTAAAGAATTGTTTGGAGTCTATTGTACCCCACTGGGTTCTCTTGTTAGGGCCCATAGCAGGCAGTTGGGACTGCACAGATTATGGTTAACTTTACTTTCCTATTGTGGTCTTTGCCTGTCATGTGAAAAATGGCACAAGACAAACCTGAAGCTGTTGCCTTGTTTTGACCATCATCTTCAGGGAGAATGGAAGTCCTTTGACACTTGCAGGGGCTGATGCAGGCTATTTAGGTGGTGTCTTCAGGGCCTAGGTCATACTGTTAATACTCCTGACTTTTGACCACTCCAGCCCACCTCTGGAGCCCCTTTTCAGCTCTTACCATGAGTCAGGATGAATTTACCTCCTTCTTCTTAGAGGAAATATATCTCACTATTGAACAATCAAATTCATTTTTCACTCTCAGGAAGTGCTACCCATACATATCAGACTGTGGGCCAGTTTCCCTCCTAACTGGGAGCTCTTTGGCTATTTTGCCAGTAAAATCCACTCCAGTGAAAATAACTCAGCTCCATGAGTTTAAGCAGAATTACCAGCTGCAAACCCGGAAGGTGAGGTAGCAGGTAGATGCCCAAATCTCAGCTACTAGCTTGGTTTAGTGTCCCTGACTATAAACCAATTGCTACATCCTATTCTAGATCGTGTTCTAATCTTTTCTCAGCCTTTGTAACTCTATTGTAGACTAATACAGACTAAACATTAGCTCAGGACATAACTATTGCATAGCCAGTAGGCATCAATGGTTGTGATTTGATTTCTAGTGAGGCAAGACAGATGTGTCCTATCTCTTTAAAAGGCTTTTCCTTTAAAGGTCTGGTATGTTTTTGGTTAAGCTAGAAACAAAACTTTTTCCTTTCCAAGTGTACTGTTTTGTTTGGTCAAACACAACTAGGTAACCACTAGCAGTCAAGATGAGTCCCATCATTCCTGCAAATTCCCTTGGGCCCCCTTGTAGTCAACTCCCATCACCATCTCAGGAACCATTGACCTGTCTGCTGTTTTTTCCAGAATGCTATATAAATGGAGACTTTGGAGCCTAATTTTTTTTAGCATGTTTCTGAGATCTTTTTTTTTTT